CTTTGATGATAGAAATTAGTCTATCCATTATTATATTAAATTATAAACACAGGACTATAGAAAATAAGTAAATGATGGTAATGATATATGTAGTTATTTGTTAGCATGTTTAAGTTATTTAAGATGTATTTATTTTTACATTTATGTTTGTTTTCATTGTATCTATATGCGCTCCTTCTACCGCAAAATGGCGGCTATTTGGTTTCGCTAATTAGAAAAGCATTCAGTCTAAATACAAGTTTTTATAAATAAAAATTATTATTCTGCATTGCTAAATAAATACCCTCCGTATTAGCAACAAAAACATCTCAAATAAAATGCAGTAATACACCGCAAATCCTGCACTTAAAAAGCACTAATGAAATTTTTGGTGTACTTGGATAAATATGATAATATTCCGTTTGAGTGGTTCTAACCTTTACCATGAAATTACTCCTTAAAGTATAGTTTATACACATTTATATTCAGGGTAAACTTAAAAACGCTACTTACGGTATGTTTTCAATAAATAAACACCGAAATCACCAGCCCAAACAATAACACACACGATTGTCGTGACGTATTTTTGAAGTTGTTTATTTTTTTTTAAATGACAGACCCAGGCGTTGAAAATTTTATGGTTTGCTAGAGTAGTTACCGAAATAGCAATTAAAAATAGTTATTTTACCTGTTATAACTTCGATATCCGATAAATCGGTATAAAATCATCACCGGCACCTCTAGGTGTGGTATGCGTCTACGGCTGCATGTATCGTGTGAGCGGATAATAAGGACTAAAATGTTTATATTTTAAGATTTTTGTAAACTTTCTAAGGTGCAATAAAAGAAATAAAACAAAATGAAGAAGAAAAAATATTAAGAACAAATATTTCTTTCATTCATTAATTCAAAATGACATAATTATATGCGAAACTTTATTACTCTTATATATATTATATATGTTTTTGTATATTATATCATTCAAAAAGTTGTCATTTTGCAGTTGTGGCAATAAAACACCAAAGGTGTGATATCTTCTTTCTGCTAGTCGTAGAGGAGCGTGGGGGAATGGGAGCCTACTAAGGAAAATTCACAATAAAAGACATAATTTAGGCAATTTAAATTTTTATTAGTTATGAACCTACGCTCACATATCTGGGTACTAGATAATCACAGAAAAAACGTGAAACTAAAATAAAATATTTGGTTAAAAAAGAAAAAACTAAAACATGTCATTCGCTCTCATTACCCCACAGTTCGGGAAATGGGAGCCGGTAAAAATCCCGTATGTCAAATGGGAGCCATTATATATAATAGTCTGAAAAAAAATTAAAGTAATAAAATATATAAGTTAAAAAGTAATGAAAATGAACAAAAAAGTTTTAAAGGAATATCCAGTGAATATTGCAATGGGATAAGGAGAGCCAAATAGCTCTCACTACCCGCGTAACATCGAATTGAAAAAGGAGTAAAACGTAAGTCAATGTAAAACAGTAAAAACATTTCTATTTTTATTGTGATTTCAAGCATAACTTCTAAAATTTGATAGATATTGTGACATGGCTAGTGTAAATACAATGTAGTATCTATGCATTTTAATGCTTACCTGGGATTATGAAATGTAGCAAGTTTTACAAGCGCGGAGCGAAAAACACACAACTATCTCATACGACTAAACGCGGGGTTCTACGGGGGCGCCCACGGGACTTGAACCTTGTCGAACGTTAACGAAGACATAGGATTGCCGTTTGTACAAATACGAGCATTGGGAAAGTCCAATATAACACCGCTCTCATTACACGCGGGCTCCTAATACCCCACTTTCCCCTATACAAGATGTCGTTGTAAAAGATTACTTACTATAAAATGAAGTAAATTATCTTTTCTGTATTATTATAATAACGCACACACTCAACATAGCCTCGCACTAAGGAAACCCTGTGTCGCGGATGCCATGGACACAGACAACCACAAATTACACCCAAACTCACGAGAAAAATCAATGTAGGCCATACAAATAATTCTCCCGGCCCGGGAATCGAACCTGGCACCTCTGCGTGGCTGGTAACCGCTTGGCCACAGAGGTGACTCTACATTACTGAGTACTTATTGTGTCCCCGGTGCGCCGAATATTAAAGCAAAGAGGGAAGGGACTTATGCAATTTAGGCCGTATCAAAGATTATTAAATATGCATTTTAAGTACAACTCTTTAAAGGTGGAATACGTAGATACCTACACTTTGCTGTGATTCGGTATTGATTCTAATGTCAATTGGAAAGCACACGTCAAAAAGATTAAAACAGACTATCAAAATTCGTGTATGCTCTATGAGAACTAAAAAAAACCACAAACATGAAAACTGCACTTACTGCTTACTACGCTTATGCCTACTCACAACTCAACGGTGTCATACTTTCAGTACTGACATCCGTGATATACTTATCCTACAAAAAAAGGATGTACGAATGCTGGCAAATATCAAAAGTCCAGAAAGTTGCCAACCGCATTTACAAAAACTTGGAATCGTACCTAACACTAGCACGTATTTATATTTTCGAAACTCGCATATTAAAAAAAATCCTCAGTGTTTTACAAAGTTAATAGATCAAACACGACACTTTGAGACGCGACTTAAAAATAATTTAGCTTTCTTGAAAAGATCAGAACTGAAAATATATAGCTGTAGCCCAAATTCAATGGCAATAAAAATTTATATTAAATTAAACGATCAATTAACGACGTGATAATTTTTTTTATAAAGTTCTAAAGCAATTTACGCTAAATAAATGTTCTGACTCCTTGATAGAACATTTTAATGGTTAGATATTATTATATTTAATAAAATTAATAGATTAATAATCATATTGAATAATTATATTAGACTAAAATTTCGGTCTGTCTTTGTCGCCAGACATTGATACGGCCTTCTGGGTTTCATTTGTTTGATATACATTATTATATAACACAATATTATATAATACCGTGCCAGACACTATGCCAACTAAGCACGGAACGAACCAGCGGACCTCACGAATTTTTCTATGTGTTTGTTGTCGTATCTTTGTGAACCTATGAGAATCTTAAGTATTTCGTCACCCAGTTAAATTTCTTCACAACTACCAGCCCTGGCTAGAGACATCGCTATAAGACGTAAGTTCGAATCCGGCCGGATCGGAGGATTTTTCCTGAGTGTTCAATCTTTGTGTTAATAATTATGAGAAGTTTATTTCAAACCACAATTTCAGTACATGTTACCTGTAAATCTAATTTAATACTAATTGTCAAGATGCATCGACGCGTTGCAATGCATTATCGGACAGGATCTGGACTCTATGGCGTCGAGGCTTACTATGAACTAATTAGAGTTTACATAACGTGTAGTACACTATCTGCACACACAGAAGTAGCCATATATATATAAGACAATTTATAAATAAACTTCTTGTGTTGCTCTGAAAATACAAAGTTTTATTAGCTACCTAATGTAAGTTTACAAACTTATTTTATACTTTACTTTCTAAACGTACAAATTGCACTTAAAACTTATTTACCTGAAAATACAAAGAAACGACATTTAAAGTTTATTTACTAGGGTATTCCTTTACATTACTTATTACATAATTTGCATTTTATTCACAAACTGCCATCTTTTAAAATTTCTCCTGTTTTATCCACAGTTCACATTAACACCATATTGTTAGAACAGCGCCATCTATCGGTACCTTAAGGTAAAAGATTCTACTTTACCGATAGACGTCAAAGGAAACCTACTAAGAACCTAAAGAAATCCAATTTCTTTACATATATATATATCTATGGAGGTGGCTGCTTACGGGGCCAAAGAAATTTAACACCGGCTTGTTATTCTCTTATTTTTGTCAGTGACTCAACAAGGAGTAGTAGGAGTAGAATTCGTATAAAATTTTTGTAGAAGTTACTTTCGGCTTTAAATTCAAACATATCTAAATTTCAGCACTATCATTTTCATTCTATCTTAAAAAAATCCCCGTAAATTTTTTTTTACTGTTAAAAACAATAAACATGTACGCAGTATTTATTATTAGAATTCCTCAAACGGGAAACCCCGTATCATCAGTAACTCGATAGAACAACTCGTCTCACTCTACCACAATAGAAAAGAAAGAGAGAAACAATGCTATAAATACAATTTAGTTATAGCAGAAGTGCCAACATAGCAAACGAAACAAAAGATGCGTTCAGAAATTTGAAAATGGAGAGTGCGTGTTTTGTTTTTATTAGGTATTCGGCCCAACAGTGCTGAATAAGGTGTACTTTCCACGACCAAATTGAGGTCATCTTAGAGAAAAGTCAAGTTCAGACAACTCATACGCTTGTTATAATAAAGTCACATGTGAACATACGTCACAAATGCTTTTTTTTAATAGCAGTTGAAGTATTGCCACTTAACCTATTTCTGCCGCCAAGCAGTAATGTCAGCATTACAGTGTTCCGGTTTAGAAGGGTAAGGGTGCTGGTGAAATTACAGGCACATGGGACTTGTCAACGTATGTCTCAGGGTGACGGGCGCAGTGGCAGTGCCCCTCATATCTTTGCAATTTAAAGCTCTGAGTGGCACTGCAACTGTTATGGATTATCATCAGGCGCACGACTTGATCGTCCCGTCACTAGATATTATAAAACAAAATTATTCTTAGAATTTTATTAACGGGAAACCCCTTATCAACAGAAGGTCACAATAATTATCTTTCTCACTCTATTACTACAAGAAAGAAAGAGAGAATCGATGCTATAAATATACTTATTGATGGTGTGTTTTGCAGATGACTGGACGTTACATGTTAGTGAACGATGGATTACGTTGGTAAATGGTTCAAAAAAGCGGCAGAAGCTGTTGTTACAGGTGAATAGTTTTAAAAGACTGTCTCGATAACCGAACGGTCTGAAATATTTGTATGGTCTACATTTCTGTCTTGAGTTTGAGTGTAATTTGTGGTTGTGTATCGAGCGTGTGTCCATGACGACACAAGTTTATCTAGTGCGGGCCTACGAGTGTGTGTATTATTATTTTTATTAAAAAATAAATACTGTTAAAATTCCTAGTTTCGGATAGGTATGGGTAATATAGCTATTTCTGAATACATAAGATACAAGTTTATCTAGTGCGGGCCTACGAGTGTGTGCATTATTATTTTTATTAAAAAATAAATACTGTTAAAATTCCTAGTTTCGGATAGGTATGGGTAATATAGCTATTTCTGAATATCGTATCGAAGCTATATATCGATATTCGAAATTGGATTTCGAAACTATATATTATTGGATAATTATAGCCCGCGTGCGCCCTGACACGTTGCCGTTTGATTAAATCGTATCGTCCACCATTGGATAAGAACGCGTTACATCAAAAAATTTACTTCCCTTTCATACAGTATACAGTTTCGTAGATGCACAAGAAACGGTTTCGCGGTGATATCCACTCAGTGATTATTTGATACGAAGCAATATCGGTGTATAGTTAGGAAAATATACGATTTCGTTAAGGTATGCACTCGGTAGTCGCTCGGCTTGATTCGGCTGGATTCGGCTTGATTCGGCATCGCTATAAAATACGCGATGCGGAGCAATATCGATATATATTTTCTAAAATACACGATATCGGATAGTCGACACTGCCACAACATATAGATTCAATAACTATATACGATTTGTAACGCCCATCCCTAGTTTCGACGGGACAAACAAGTCATGCGGCTGTCGTTAGCCGAGACGCCTGTCCATAACAGTTGCAGTCTGATCTGAGCTTTGGATCGCAAAGATCTGAGGGGCAATGCTACGGTGCATGTCACCCGTCTAATTCTCTCTATAGTTTAGTTGGTAGGACGATGAGCTCGCCTTTATTGTTAACTCATAGGTATTAATTATATTAATCTCCAGATCACGTACCGTCTGGAGCACTCGGTATCGGTGAAGCCAGAATATACCAGGCGGCTTCGAACCTGCTTCCACCAGATCCACCTGAGGTAGGTTCAGTTATCGTGTCTCGGTCATTTTCGGAATTGTGTTGACTACCTAATTTTCGTGGCAATTTTATTTAATATTTTATATAATATTTATTTTAAGTATTCGATTTTTTATCGTGCAATATTATTTAATATTCGAGTATTTCATCGTAAAATATTGTTAAATAGTTACACGATAGTGTACTTGAATATTTAAATAATAAAAATTGCCACGGAAATTAGATACTGAACATAACTCCGAGAATGATCGATCTATAATGTCATAACAATTTCTCGCTTATAAATCCAATTTAAAATTATGCAAAAAAACCAACACGAAGTTAAAAAACAGAATAAAAAAAATCACGCACCCTTGGCGGAATAAAGTCATATCTGCAAAATGACAAATTTTCAGGGGAGATGTTTAAAGATTCTGAAAACGAAATTACTCGAATATATTTTCATGCTTAATAAGTAGGAGACTAATACAATTTTACATTTATTTCTATGACTTGAAATGTGATAAAAACATTGACTTACAATTATATGGACGTCGGGTCCGCGCTAAAAAGTGTCCGCACTTGTAAGGCGCTAAAATCGTATACAGAGCGCCAAACTCCGCTTTAGTCTTCATTTGTTCTACTGACAGCGCGATACTGCGATGACATTACAATTTATATTTCGAATAGGTTGACTTGGGACATTTTTTTCGTGGTTTTTGTATTAGACCCGTCGTCCATTTATAGCATTTATTATGTGTGATCACATGTGGCTGCTTGAATTTTTTTTTATATTAAGTGACAGGACGATCAAGTCTAGCGCCTGGTGGTAAGCGACACGCCTGTCCATGGCAGTCGTAGTGCCACCCAGAGCATTAAGTCGTAAAGATTTGAGGGGCCCTGCCACTGCACCCGTCACCCTGAGACATAAGTTGACAACTCCCATGTTGTCTGTTTCACCAGCACACGTATTCTTCAAAACCAGAACACAGTAATGCTCACATTACTGCTTGGCGGCAGAAATAGGTAGAATGGCAGTACTTTCCTACGCGAACTTCTTCACTCCTTCACTTGTAGCCATTGACTTACAATTATATGGACGTCGGGTCCGCGCTAAAAAGTGTCCGAACTTATAGCGCGTTTAAATCGTATACAGAGCGTCTTTCACGCTTTAGTCTTCGTTTGTGCGACTGACAGCGAAGCAAGCAAAATTAGACAGCACTGCGATGACATTATAATTTAAATTCAACGTTTTAGCTTTTTCATATTCCTTTACATGTCACTACGTTTAAATAGGTTGACTTGGGACATTTTTTTCGTGGTTTTTGTATTAGACCCGTCGTCCATTTATTTGTAAGTCAATGCTTGTAGCGTAAACCCATTTCAATTTTCTTTATTTATTTCAGTATTTTCTTTCCTAACCTAAGATGGACACTCCCCTAAAAGTATAGTTGAACCCAGAAAGAGGTTAACATATGAGGTTATAATGAGTTGTATTTCTTTGTAGGACGACGACGAAGAAGAATCATCTGAAAATAACGACGATCAAAAAGAGGGAAAAGATGAGAAGAAAGACGAAAAAACAGACGATGGCAAATCTTCAAGCAGTTCCTCGAAATCTTAGTTCTTCTAAGTTAATACTATAAATAAATAAATATTAAGACAACATCACACTTTACTCTGATCCTATGTAAGTAACTAAACACATGTGTTATAGAAATGGGAAACAACCCGAGACAATATAGAAAACTTAGTTTTTTTACATTGACCCTGCCGGGGATCGAACCCGGGACCTCAGAGATGGAGACACCATAAAAACCGGTGTGAAAGCCACTCGATCACGGAGGTCGTCAAAATTCTATATTTTCTTAAGTCTATATTTGTGAAACAAAGACCAAATCTATTGTGGAGTTTTCTGTCTATGGCAATACGACAAAAGTTGTTGTTCATGATGTATAACTACAAATAATCCTGTATACATTCAAGAGAGCAACAGTAATAAATCCTAGAAACAAAGAAATCTGACAGATTTGTGCTTATAATAAATAATCAATAAAACACAACGGTCAAGCATACTAACGGCATTGAAAGCCGAAACAAAGATCTATAACAAGCACAGAAAATTTCGTCAACGTCAACCTGTAGCCCTACAGGTTGACGTTTGATTTTTTTTTTATTTTAGGGACCAATGCGCCCATTACCCTGATAATTTATGTTGACAAGTCCCATGTGCCTGTAATTTCACCAGCACCCTTGCCCTTCCAAACCGAAACCCAGTAATGCTTACATTACTGCTTGGCGGCAGAAATAGATAAGGTAGCACTTCACTGGGCGCACTCTTTCACAAGGAGCTCTGCATAAATCTTATACAAATCGATAGTGCACATATGTAATAGATATCTTTGTATTAATAATTATAAAAAAAAAACATTTTGAAAGTATAGCCGATAATTCGAACGTATAGAAATAGAGAGAAATGGACTTTGGTAAATTGTTTCTACTCCATCAAAGAATCTTTCGAATATATTGTATTTAATCTATTTGTAATTTCAATTATGTAAATTTAAGTTTTGCGTACGATGTTCTGCTCTTATCTGTAACTAACTTGTTCAATAAAAAACCTTATCTTATTGAAGTAAAATTATTTAATTTCGCTGGACAGATCTAGTAACTAGTTTATAATGTTAATTTAATAAAATTTTGAAAAACAATGAAACGTATTTTAAAAATATATCCGCCGTACATTATTTTTAAAATACTCTAACATATATGTGTGATAACTAAGATATACGTATATTATATGTATTTTTTTATTAAAAAAATAAGTGTGCATTTGATTGAATGGGACAATTATTCATTTAGTATTTATGTTTTTAATTTCTTAACAAACTTGAAGTGTTATTATAATGTACGCGCAGAGCACAGTATATACAGTTGTTGTACTGAATCCATAGACCGCTCTTGTAAAGCGAAGGCTAGTTAGTAATCTACGACCCAGTAACACTCGATGGAGTTGTGGTTATGATGACGTGTCGGTGTTTCTGTTTTACCAGTCATCCGTGACCTGCAAAGAACCCGAAATGTTGTTTGTTTCAAAAAACCAATATTATACGTGATTTTGATCAGGAAAAACCTTAGACTATAGATTCCCAAACTTTTTGTCTGACCGCCAACTTAGGTAAGATAATTAATTTCAACGGCCACCGCCACAAAATCAATTCAAAACACGTATTTTTTATATTAACTTAACTGTCAAGGAAAAAATATGTAGTGTAGTTTATATAGCCAATTCATGTTTTTTTTTTCAAATGCGTTCGAGGCCCCTACCGCCGTAGGACTCTTCAGCGCCCAGTTTGTGAAAATACGCCTTAGACTATGGAAACCAATCCTTTATTTTTTTCCATCCTCTAAGAAAAAACGGTCTCTACATTCAAGCCATAGATTTGAATTTCGATAATGACTTTTGTTTAGTTAATAAGCACGTTTATTCCGTAGTTAGGGCAGCTCCTTTCCTTTATTTTTTTCCATTCCATAAGGGAGAAACACACAGTTTCATTTCTAATGTTACTTCTATAGTCGCTTTTTCCATCCTTTTTGCGAAAATAGAAAAGTAATTACAGGCAATTACAGACTCTAATGACTAGTTGAGAGGCACAGTGGCAGTGTCCCTCAGGCATTTTTGCGACTTCGTGGTATGGTTGGCGAAATATCATATGCACCGTTTCGCCTTATTGCTTCATCTATAGAATACAATAAAACATAACAGTGAGCCGTCTCGGTAAAGCACGTACCATGTGTGTAGTGCAAACAACTAGTTTAAACACTTTTACTCATTGGCACTTCGTTCTAAATTTGATAATCTTCATTCGACACTAACTTAGTTGAATTAGTAAGAAAAGAGTCAGCAGTTACGAAGTACCTACAGTCTAAAAAACGACCTAATGCGTAAAGAAATAATTCAAAATTAGAATTTAGAAAAAATCCTAAGCGCATCCATGTCTCGTACTATGGACCAAGATCATTAAGTCCATGTTCACAAGTCATCGAGTATATAACCAGAAATAGAGACGAAATAAGGGTCATCCATTCCTGGCAACTCATCAGGCTAATGGGCCTTATATTACTTTTAAATATCAACTCTCGTTTGCGCTGAATTCACAAATTAGAAAACTGAAATAGTACAGCGCCAACAACTGACCTGTGTGTACGTCTCCGTATATTCCAAAAATATTCTGTATTTACTGTAATAAAGATAATATCTCTAACAATGCCGTGCTGTTCTATTCGGTGGTGTGGGAAAAACTGCAAAACATCTAATTACAAAACAAACGGAATCACATTTCTTTGGTAATTAAATACTAAATTAAATATGTAATTTTTCAATTTTCATCCATTATAGCAAAGCTCAAGTTAAAGTGGTCGATTTGTAGTGAAACAATCGACGACACTCGTTAATTGTTTCGATTTCGGGCTGGTCAATCGGAGTGCAGTTGTCACGGCAATGATTTGGTAGAATAGTTTTCAAACAAATTAAATGATATTTCGTCTCTATTCTGGTTATATATTCGATGCTCTAAGTGTACATGGACATTATAATACAGTAATAAACCCATTTTTATTACTCTATTATAATAGAAAGGACAAGCCGTTCCAAGAGATAACATTCATCGGTGCAAATAATATTTTTTATATCATACGAACTAGAAGGACGAAAGGTATGCAATCAAAAAAAGGAGAATGATGAAGTATAACAATAAGTTTATAACAAGAGTTCAACTCTCAACAAGAACTCCAAGGTTGAAGACCGATGGCGGAGGCGGTGAGTGGAGAGGCTGCACCGACAGCGGCGGTAGTGCAGCACTGGATTTTATCACTTTGTACTCGGAGGTGGAATCCTACTTCGTCTTGAGCGTCGGCTTTAGTCACTCCTGCCGCTCCAAACTCGCTTGGTGAAGGTGAGGTACACAGTCCAGGTAGGATCGTAAACGTGAAGACCAGGTTTAGCGTGAGACAGTCGAGGAACTGGTCATCAGGCAGACGCGTAAACGCGGTCGGAGTAAGGCCAGGTGTGGGGCTTCGAAAAGGTGAAGAGCGAGGGAGAACGCTTTTCTACTGATAAGATTGCATAACAAAGGGAGAGTAATTTATAGGATAATCTATGGAAGAATAGATTATAGAGGGGTAACATATCTGTCAATCAATGTCAACATATAAAAATATTACATTCGAAATAAATATGTTTATAAAGTGAAATTGATGAAATAGTACGTAATTAGCAATGGAAAAACGAATAGCAAAATTCGGAGATACTATCAGTACGTTAGGATACGCCAAGGTCGAGAGATCAGACATGAAAAGTGAGTAAATTGTCCAAGTGCGAGAAATAGCTTACAATAGCAAATTAAGGTAATTTAGATACTAATATTTTAGTAAATGTTAATTGGAACTCATTCGGGAATCAGGAAAAGTAAGGGGTGTTTACTAGAAAACGTATATGAGAGAGATGAAAATGATAGGGGTCCGTAGTTTGACACTACGACTGCAGTTTTATTTTAAAGAATTATCAGCTTCTTTGTTCATTATTTACTATAATTAAATATTTAATATTTATGTACAGTTAAAGTTAATTGCATTATACTGTCGCGCTTAGAATAATAACGCACTGTCGCGTATATGCTGACTCTTACTAAATATTTTAATGTTTTTTAAATATGGTTTATAATGCAGACGCCGCTGCAAACCATTTTAACGTCAACATTTATTATACATTAAGACAATCCAAGTCAAAACGGGTTATTGGAATAACTATTATATTTCCTCAAACAAAAAACCCAAACCATCGTTACCTCAATGCATCTCACTCTATCATAACAAGAGAGAACGATAAACAATATTTTAGTTGACACTGTGTTTTGCTGACGACTTCACGTGTTGTAGTGAAATTAATAATTGAAATTTTGTATTATTATACACTAATAATGGACCAAAAAGCAGCCGGAAATGTTACAGGTGAATAATGTTATCTATTTTAACCGACTTCAAAAAAAGGAGGTTCTCAATTCGACTGTATTTGTTTTTGTATGTTTTTGAATGAATCCGGTTTCGCGCACTTTCCGGTGACCTATTTCGATAAAAGTTAGCAAATACTTCGGGGTTATTCGAGTTACTGTCGATTTCATTGTAGAATGACATTCGTTTATAATGAAATTAAATGTCGTTTTACTATTGAATAGTCGAGGTAACTCAAAATTTGTGGAAGAGAAGTCGCGATTAGAAAGTTCCAAAAATTACTGAATTAATCATTGATGTACAATTATATGGACGTCGCACGGTGATTCACGCTCCATACTAAGGCGGTCATAAATACGTAACTCCGAAATTATTATTTTTTTTATTTTATTACGTTAAAATATGATTAGGTAAACGTAAATTAATAAAATTATACATTTTAAAAAATATTTGACAATATTTAGGTGTAAAAATGTCTCGCAGTAATTTTGTTTTTAGACGATGTATCTAAAATATTTTATACTGCGACTTTTAATGGTAAAACTGTGTAAATAATGATTATTTGTATTAACAATAACCACAAATGAATAAATTAAAACAATAAAAATACATAAAAAAGTTCATTTTACAAAATACAAACAAAACACAAATTATACCAAAATACATTAAATCTCAACAATATTAACTTTATATACATAACAAGTCTAATACAGCTTTTGACAGTACACCTTTTTTTTTAACAGGTAACTTTCGTAGACCTGTTATGAAGGGATCTGAATGAAGAAGCAGCCTATTTACTAAATCTGTGTTGGTCACAATGCGACTCATTTTACGCGTATGATTTTTTCTAAAAGACTTGATGTATTTGTTAGTCGCTTCAGCTGCTTCTTCAGACAACTCTCCGATTGACAACAAACCGTAATCTATAACATTAGCACCATGAATTAGAACTTTGTGAACGGAAGCAGGCATGTTATACCACGGATACTCGGCAACTAACTGCCGAACCGTCTCTAAAGCGAACTCTTCGAAGTTCGTCTTATTAATATTATATCCCGAATTTAAACATTGAAGGATGATCCAGCAACGATCTAGGAGATCCTTCTTGATCCCAGTAATTTCAGCGGAAATTTCTGAATTCGAGAAAAACCGCCTGGCTGTATTACCATCGTTTGATGTTCCGCTTCCGCCACTTTTAGGCTTATCCACTATAAGCCCTAATCTTTCTCTAAATTGAGTCTGAACATATGATTTTTTTGCAGCAACAAGCATTTTGTCATTAGCGGACCTAGCTTGCCATTTCCTAACATCTAACTTGTACGCGACATGAACAAAATATTCAAAAAAACGTATTAACGCGTGAAGAGGTGATAAACCAAATTCATATTTACTCTCATCGACTTCCTTATTTAAACATTCGTCAATTTTGTTCATTTCACTGGGCAAGGCGTTACAAATAAAACATTTTGATGAAGAAACACCACTAAGTGCATTACACACTTTACCATCTACCATAGTAAGTTGCAAACAATGAGTAATGCGATATTCGCGATCTTCTTCCTTGAAAACAGTAGGCTGCAAGTTCCTTATTTTATCTTTAAAATGAGCTTC